GAGTTACAAGCTCTGAAGAATACCCAAGGAGGGCGATTTCCAGTTCGTCCCACGCAGAAGACACTTCTGGTTAGTGTAAGGTGTGCAGGGCAATGTTGCCTTGGGGGCATTTTGATTTAAAGTAAGATTTATAAGTCACTGCTACCACACGGCACATAGAATGAGAGGGGCCCTCCTTGCTCTGGATTTTCACAAAGGGCACATCTGCTTTCAGCATCTCTTATTTCCTAAGCAAATGACTTGGCTTACTGGCCTGTGTTAGCATCTCCAGTGTCCTCAGGGAGCTACGGGAGGCAGGGGAGCTTCAATTTTGATCAGAAACAGCGAGTCGGAATCTGAAGGAGCTGTGCTCATCTCAGTATCAGTTCACATGCTGTTTCCCAAATAATAACTGCCCTCAAGACATCTTTTTTTTCCCCCGCAAGAAAATCCTGCTTTGCTGGACTCACAGCTCGACTAACAACGTCCTCGATTCTGGATCATACGAACACACATATGCACATTCTCTCCGTTCGAGTGGGGATGAGGGACAGCAGGTGAGAAAAGGATTTCGAAGCCAAAAGGGATAAAGGCACCTCAGGCGCCCCACTTTCCCCTCCTGTCCTCTACCCAGGGCCTTTGCACATCCCCCCCAGGCCTTCTCCCTTCCCCTTCCACCAGGAGCTGCTGGCCTGAGCTGCAACTGACTGACACTCTGCCTTGTCTTTGGGAAGGTAAATCAGGAAACTGTCCTCTATCAACTGCCCTCTATCAAAACTGACAGAATCCGTCATAATCTTGAAAGGTCAGGAAAAGCACAATATCACTCGAGTCTTCTCCTTTGTAAGGAGATCTCACCTTGTCCTGCAGGATGGTCCCTCCTGCTGCCCACTAAGAACCTCGGGGAATCTGCACACAACCTAATTTGGTACAGATATACAGGATACACAGAAGTTGCAGCAATCTCTCCCTGCTTGGTGAGCGGCGCATTTTCACTTTTCACCACTAGATGGTGCAACAGGGGCAGGGCAGATCTGACCAGTGTCCCCAGGAAGGCAGCTTCCATCAACCTAAGTGGTATGTATGTATGTGTGTGTTCTCCAATGCAGACTAAGGCTTTGATGTGAAAAGGGTTGAAGAAAGATGTTGAGTTGTTCTTGGCTAGCTCTAAAGGTGGGAGAATATCGATTTGTTTGGAGAGGGAGCACAAAATTCCATCCATGGTCTATATTTAACAGGAGCGGCAAGACCACAAAGCCTGGCCTGGTCGGGCCCTCACTGCAGGAACACTGCCAGAGGAGTGGAGAGTTGGGACGATTGTATTCCTTAAATTCTGGCTCATGACTTGAAATATTTTACTGTTTGTGTCCCCCACGGCACCCTCTGGGCCAGCAGGTGTGGCTGGAAGGGTGTCTGGGGGTGCAGGAAGAGAAGGAGAAAGCAGTATCGAGTACAGAGGACTCAAAATTCTAAACCAGAACCCGTGTGTGAGCTTTAATCATTTACACAGGCATGTGAGCCTTCTTGCCCAAAGCTCACAAAGTAACTGAGCCTGGACAACCCCTTTCTGGACAAGCACCTTCATATCTCACCTGGCCACCAAGCCCACCTTCTATCTGGTCCCTCTGTCTAAGCAGTGAGAGGCAAATTCCTAAATCCTAAGTCAGAGCGTGCTACCACCTGCTTACTACGCCTGGGCCAAATCTCAGTCTCCTTACCAAGGTCTGCAAAGCCCGGCCTACCTCTCTGATCAGGTGGCCTTGGCCATCATCCTGTGCCCAGACCACTGTGCTCGAGCTCTGGAGCCAGCCAGGTCTGTGTCCTGGGTCACACCCAACTCTATGACCGCAGGCCTTTTGCACTTGTTATTCCCTTTGCCTTCCACCAACCCCTTCTGGCTGCCTCTTCTTTCTTGTCCTTCAGGTGCTGGTTTAAATGTCACCAGAGAGGCATTCCCTGACCCACCAGTGGAAAGGAGCTGCCATTCCCACGCCTACTTTCATCTCATCCTATTTGAGTCCCCTGCATTTACACCACGGGACAGCAAACCTTTCTGAAAAGGACCAGGGGGTCTCTGTTGGGACTTTTGTATTCAGAAACCAGCCATAGACAATAGTCAATGAAGGATATAGCTGTGTTCCAATAAAACTTTATTTACAAAAACAGGTGGTGGGCCAGTTTTGGTTCATAGGCCATTGCTTGCTACCCCCTAACTCACCCTAATTGGCATTTTTCTTATTTTTTTTATTGGCTGAGTCTTTTCTCTTTAGTTCACTGATCTCTCTGATACCTAGAACAGTTCTTGGCATAATGTGATTATCTTTTTATTATTTGTTCACTCCTTTGTTATTTAAAGCTCTGGTAAATCTCAGTTTCTAGTTTCCTTTCTTCCAACAACTTTTCCCCCTGGAAATTTAGCTTTCACTCTTTCATTAGAAAAGATAACTCAACATCTGGTGATTGACAGGGAAGAGCATCCTGCAATCTGGGAAAGCCAGATAAGAGCATGGTGAGGTGACATGGCTTTCTGCATGTGGCAGGATGCAATTAGACCCAGCACTGATGGAGCAGCAACTCTTAATTATGCAAATGCAGCTTACTTATGAATTTTTAATTCTGGGCAAACTCCCAATTTTGTCCTCTTCGAAACTATTCCTGGGCACTTTTATCACTGTCTAGTCTTAGGCTTTGGAAAAAGCAACTACTTCTAATATCAGCTCATGGAAAATTTGTTTAGAAGGATAATCAAACAAAATAAAAATAAGCCAACTCCCCAACTCCCCTGTTGGATTTTAAAATCACATAAAAATGAGACTTGCAATGACAGTAAAATGGATGCTGATGCAAAATCTAAGTGCATCCCCCCTTCACCCACCTGTCATAACAAGCACCCCTCCTTTTTTTCAAAAAGGAGAATTGATTTGGCTAAGCAATAGAACAGTTCTTGGGCAGGTTTGGAAGGCTGAACTTGGCTTTTGTTCAGTGGTGGGGGTGAGCACAGGGGAGAGAAGAGGCAGTTCCTTTTTGGTAAGAAGTGTGGACGTAAAAGAGGCCACATGCTAAACCTGACAAGCTCAGGGAGGCCTGCATGGCAGGCCTTACAAACTCAGAGACCAAAATTAACCAAAGACCAAAATTTTTGCATCCAAGATAACAGACACTTAGAATGTCAGAGTAATCCTTTTTTTCCAGATCACAGAATCCCTCATTGTTATCTTGTTACCCGAATACCATCTCTCTGTGCTGTACATGTTAATTATTAACTATCCTGTACCCACCAATGTAAAATAAGTATGTGACTCTCCATTTTACTTTTTATCCAATCCCAGAAATCTTCCTGCTTTGCTTTCTCCCACTCCCTGAATCTACCACCAAAGGATTTCATGTACCTTCCTTACCTCATCTGATTCTAACGTATAAAATAAGCTGTAAAACTGCCATTCCCTGGAGCATTTACTCAATCCGCTGAGATTTTGCTTCCGGGCAACTGTCGCCAGTTTGGCTCAAATAAACTCATAAAAATTCTCTACAGGTTTGGACGTTTCTTACATCGACAGAGGGTTGTACCTAAAACCCAAGGTGTGACTTTGGGGGCTTCCAAAGACCCCAAAAGCAATGGTGTGCTGGTCAACCAGCTTGCTAGGGTGAAAACAGCACTGATTTGCAATGCTTGCTATTCCTGTTGTGTAAACACTGCCACCATTGGTGATTTCAAGCTCCCCATGTGACAGCACTGAACACTCAGTTGGGAAGAATGTGTATGGTGGGCTCTCCCAGGCAGTACCAGAGGCTGCAGCAACCACTATCCCCAAATCACTTCATGTTGAACTGGGTCAAAGGGGACCTACTCAGCTCAGGCCCACGCTGTATTCTTCCTTTCCCCCGCAGCCTCGGCTAGCCTCACCCCCACCCTGCCCAGATGACTGGCTCCAAGGTTTCATCTCCCCAGGGGTCAGCCCCTTGCACTGCCTAAACATGAAAATCACCTCTCGCCCTTCCCTGGCTGGTCCTCTGCTGCCCCATACTGGTCAACAAGATGACTTTGGTTCTACCTAAGGAACAGAAAAACCCATGGCGAACATTGTTTAAGTATATATTCTTAGGCAAGGCAGCTGAGTAGAGGTGAAAACACAGGGAGCTTTTTTGGAAACTAAATGGAGTGGCAGAGCAATTTAAGGCCAAACTACCCTGCTGTCCCAGATACAGATTTCTCCCCCTGAATGTGTTTAGCAAGAGTGGGTCTTCAGAAGGTGGCACCACCCCAGGTTGGGGTGGGGGTGGGGTGGGGTGTCAGGAAATACGTGGAGGCCTTTTTTGGCTCCCAGAATGAATGGAGGAGAGAAGCTATGACATGAGATGGTGGGGGTCCTCGAATCCTGCAAGGACAGGAAGTCCCGCCCATCCGAGTACACTAGAGTGTGGTTAGAAATACCTGGCAGTCAATTCCTCCCTTTCTGGCTTCTCAGGGAGCTGAGGTCTAGAGTCCTTTGAGGGAATGACTAAGGTAAGCAAATACGTGGGTCTCCTTGAGCACAGAGTCTGGAAGAGTCTGCTGAGGGGAATGGGGCCTGGGTTACCCCACAGAAGGAGACTGGTGCAGCCACACAGCAGGAGAGCTCAGTGCGGGGAAAGACTGCCCCTGGCTGGCCAGGAATCACACTGAAGAAGCCCTGATCGCCTTGAAGGAGCACTGAGAGCAGACATTTCTATTTTAGGTCTGAATTTGGGCTTTGCGCTAAGTAGCATGTTGCTTCACCTCTGTGAGTCTGGTTTCCTGCAGGCACACTCCCACCCCAGGGATGCTGTAAATCACAGTGCCTGCCAAATACAAAAGAAGAAAGTGGACAGGTAGCTGATGCACTTATGCAAATTGATATGCAAACCACAGGACAGGGACAGCTGCTTTTCCCTACAACCTGTGTGCCCAAAGCCTCATTTTGTTCATTCTTAAGCGTTTACAAGGGAAAAGATACATTTTCACAGAAAAACAGAACATCAGGCCGATAAACTGAATGTCTCACCTTTCGGAGTCTTGCAAGGAGACCTGCTACGTGTTCATGCTGTTCCGATCTAGCAAGATCTTCTGCTGTCTTTCCATCCTGTTGGGAGAAAAATGATTAGTTTCTTTCCTTGGCAACAGAGAGCCGTGTGTTCCAAACACAAACTCTGTCACTGGAGGCACAAACAAGAATAGGAGTCAGAAACAAAGAAGGTGGACAAAAAGAACGTGTGCTGGCTTATTTCCCTTTCTGTGGAATCCTTATTTTCCTGGATTGTCCAGGGAGGGAAGAGAAGCAGGAAGAAATGGTGCATTGGCGTTTTAAGGTCCAATGGTGAGATGTCTCAGGCCCACAGGCTTTACTCAAACTTGGAACCTTGTTAGTGGGCAGATTAGTCGGTGAACTGAATCGCTCTCCAATTAGGCAGACAATAAAGATTGTCATGAGATGCCAGATTCTAGTTAGTGCCAGCTAACGTCTTAAGATACTTTCATAGACAAACCTCAGCACTGATATAATGCTAGTGGTAATTGTTGTGCATTCAAAGAAAAGACTTAGTTTTACAGACAATTTAAAGGTTTTCAGTGAACATAAAAGGAGGAACTAAGCTAAGGGTCCATGGCACTTTTGTGTTTGCTTTTTAATTAGAGTTTTCAGAGGGTTGTAGTTTCATCCTGAACAAACTCATTTCTGTTTCTACACCATAAATATGCACGATAAAGGATAACATTTAATTAGCGCCTCTTAATAATCTGTGCCTGATCCAGTTCTCAGTGCTTCGTGTGCACTAACTCTCAGTTACTCCCGGGAGGCGGGAACCATGGCTGTTCACATGCCACCGAAAAGGACACGGAGGCTTAGGGACTGGTCTGCTACAGGTTTAGAAATCATTACAAATTTAAAAGTAGAAAATATGAGGAGCAATTTCCAAATAAATAAAAGCAATTTTTCTTTTTAACAAGAAGCATTTTTGCCTCTCTCTCAATGTTTATCAGTAACAAAGTTCCATTCTCATGGAAGCTTAGAAATGCCTGAATTTTTTTAATAGTATACCTTCCAATTTCTCAACTCAAGTCCCTCTGAGCCATGTGTGGGTTCCCATTAGACCTGCATTTTTCAACCTTTGGCACAACTGACATTATGGACGGTAATTCTCTGTTGTGGGGGCTGTCCTGTGCACTGCAGGGTGTCTTGCAGCATCCCTGGCCTACACCACTGGATGCCAGCAGCACCCCTCACTTGTGACACCCCACAGTGCCTTCAGACTCTGCCCAGTGTTCCTTGGGGGCAAAGTCACCCCAGTGGAGAACCACTGCCTTAGACTGAAGGGGGAGGCTCAGATGGGTGCTCCAGAGGAGGCACCCTTACAGTCACGTGCCATCTCTCTCTGCTCCCTTAAGAGTCCCAAAAAGTCTCCAATGGGCAGGCATGGGCTTCTAGTTTGCTTTGGGGTTGGCTTCCAGGACCCAGGACCTGCAAATAGTTTCGTTCCTGAGGGGGTGCAGGGGTGAAGGGTGAGGCTAGGCAGTGGGCAGAGGCCAGGCTATGGAGGTCACATCCTGAAGACCATGCAGCCCCAGGATAATCTGAAATCAGCACGCAACGCAGATTGGCTTTCCCAGAATGAAACGTGGTAGCGGGCTGGAACTGTCAGGATGGCCACGAGGCTACAGTTAAGGGGCTGGTTCTGAGGCCGAGTTGGTCCTGGGGGAAACACGCAAGTAGAGGCAGGAGGATGGAGAGCTTCAAGTTCCAGAAGATTCTAGGACATGGTCACTGGTACGATGCTGGGAAGAGGAGCTTCCACACTCTTGGTCCGGGAGCCTGGACGCGTGCTGAAGCCCTTTGCAAAGGTCAGACACTGGGGGAGAAGAGCAGACCCAGAGGGAGAGGATGCAGTGTTGGAGGCTGTGTCCGAGTGGCGCTTGGGGATAAGCGAGGCTGGAGGCCTGGTATAGCCCTGAGTTCAGGTGCAGCTGGGGAGAGGAGCAGTGGGTGGACAGCAGGAGAGCAGCTGGCCAGCTGGGATGGAACAGCTATAAGAGGACATGGAGTTGGTGGAGGGAGAGCAGAGGCAGGAGGAGAAGCCAGAGCAAACAGGATTTTCTCATCCAAGGCAGCAGAGAGTGTCAAGAAAGTGTCAAGTCCTGGAGAGGTATCTAGTGAAATAGGATTTAAAAGAGCTGCTCGCACTTAGGTGAGAAAAACTACAAAGAAAGGCAAGGAAGTGATTACTACAAAAGTCAAGAGTAGGGGTTACATTGGGAGCTGGGAGAGGGACATGTGTAGCAAAAGTCCATTGGGGGTTTCTGGGGGGGCCTCAAAAGTCCTATTTCTTGACCTGAATCTTGTTATAAAAGGTGTTTATCTTAATCATTCATCAAGCTTTGCTTTTGCTTATGTGCTTTTTATGAAAACCTGTGTTTTATTTTAGAACAAAAACGTTTTGAAGAAGAGAGCTACCAGAAGGTGACTGGGTACTCTGCTAAGAGTCACAAGGAATTGAGGACAGACTGTGGAGTGTGGAGGAGGAGACTGAGACAAGAAAAAAAGAGGACAGGGTATTCAGGTCTTGTTCATGTGATCCTGGCTGAGAGCCGAACGAGAGGGACGGTAACACTAGAGGGCGCTGCAGGGTCGAGGGTTGTAGGGAAGGATGGGGATAGCGCCAGCTCAGGCGGTGAGGAGAAAACTTGCAAGAGGAAAGGGGTTGGCATTGTGCCATCCAGTAAGGGGCTACGTCCCACACGTGGCTACTCAGTGCTTGCAATGTGGCTGAGGTAAGATGTGCTCTGGGTGTAAAACACACACTGGATTTCGAAGACTTAGTACAAACAAAGAGTGTGAAGTATCTCAATAATTGCAAAACACTGGTTATAGGTTGAAATGATATTTTGCATATCTTTGCTAAATAAAATATATTACTGAAATTAATTTCCTCTTTTCCTTTTTAGATGTTGAGAATGACACATGTGGCATGTATTAGCAATCCATTGGCGATACCCTCAGCAGTGAGCAACACGTCTCCATGATCACACCACACCCCTGCTTGAAATCTGAGATGCTTCCTCTGCTCTTGGAGAAAGATCTCCGTCTCCACGGCGCCTGCACAATCCAGCCTTGCTTACTCCTCGACCTGGGCTGGGCCTCTTCATGCTATGCTCCAGCTCACTGTCCCTCCAGTTTCTCAAAGGCCTCGAGGTCTCCCAGCTCAGGCTTCGGCACATAATGCTCTCCACACTCTCTCTGAGGAGCGCTCCCTGATCCCCCCGGAAACTCCCTCAGAAGCCTGGTTCTTAACGCTCACTGGTCCCATCCTATCACTCTATATTTACCACTGTGACTCCTGGGTCTCTCTCCCGTTAGACTAGACGTTCTCTGAGGGAGGAGAAGCTCGCCTGTGTTGGGCCCACTGTGTTCCCTGGTCTCACTAGTGCCTGGTACAGGGTATGTGCTCAGTGTTTGTAGAATGAATGAGTGAGGCTCCGTAATGTTGATTTGCAAGTACCAGGGAGGGGCAGTGGTAACCAGAGGAGGTGCATGTGTAATGAGCTAGGAGGGTGGGAGAGCAGAGAGATATACCTGAGTGCCTGCTTGAGGGGAAGGCCATGGATGGGAAGCAAGGAAATAGCTGCTGTGGGGAAGGGCAAAGGGAAATGACCACAGGCTCACAGCGGTCATGGGGGCAGTCCCAAGGACCCAAGAGAGGCCAGAGCTCATATATTTTATGTCCCCAACCCACTGGGTTTGGTGGAAGCCAGCTGATTGAAGATACCATTTTTGACAGTTTACTTTTTATGAGGCAACATCTGTGACAAAAACATATTTTTCCTCATAAAAATACATATAAATGCTTTATTGTGGAGTAACTGAACTGTGTGTCAAGACATGGTTGGGCAGGGTTTGGTAATGGCGCATCAGGCCTAGAGGACCGTGCATGGCTGTGTTTGTGTGTGTGCTGGGCCAGGAGGTGCCCTAAAAAGGTGACAGTCCCATGTAGAACACTGGTTATCACTGGGCTGTAGAAAAGCCCAGCTCAGACTCAGCACTGCAGAGAAAAGACCCAGAACTTTCGGGGAGAGAATGACATCAAGATAACATTAGTGCAGTCAGGGAGGCAATACAGGCATACCTCGTTTTATTGCGCTCTGCTTACTGCGCTTTGCAGGTATTGCAATTTTTCAATCTAGTTGTGGAAGGTGCAGCTCACTGGCCCATGTGGGAATCGAACTGGCAGCCTTGGTGTTATGAGCCCACGCTGTAACCACCTGAGCCAAATGGCCGCCCCAAGGTATTGCGATTTTTTACAAATTGAAGGTTTGCGGCAACCCTGCATGGCGCAAGTCTATTGGTGCCCTTTTTTCCAACAGCATTTACTCACTTAGTGTCTCTGTGTCACATTTTGGTAATTCTTGCAATATTTCAAACCTTTTTCATTATTATTATATTTGTTATGGTGATCTGTGATCAATGATCTTTGATATTACTATTGTAATTGTTTTGGGGTGCCATGAACCGCATCCATATAACACATCAAACTTAATAAGCATTGTGTGTGTTCTGACTGCTTCACTGACCAGCTGTTTCCCCACCTTCTCTTGGGGCTTCCCTTTTTCCCTGAGACACAACAATATTGAAATTACGCCAATTAATAACCTTAAAATGGCCTCTACGTGTTCAAGTGAAAGAAAAGGTCACACGTCTCTGACTTTAAATCAAAAGCTAGAAATGATTAAGCCTGAGGAAGGCATGTCAAAAACCAAGATAGGCTGAAAATTAGGCCTCTTGTGCCAGTTAGCCAATCTGTGAATGCAAAGGGAATAGTTCTTGAAGTAAATTAAAGTGCTGCTTCAGTGAACACATGAATGATAAGAAAGCGAAAGAGCCTTATTGCTGATATGGAGAAAGTTTTAGTGGTCTGGATAGATCCATCCAGCCACAACATTCCCTTAAACCAAAGGCTAATCCAGAGCAAGGCCCTAACTCTCTTCAACTCTATGAAGGCTGAGAGGTAAGGAAGCTGCAGAAGAAAAGTTTGAAGCTAGCAGACATTGGTTCATGAGGTTTAAGGCAAGAAGCCATCTCCATGACATAAAAGTGCAAGATGACGCAGCAAGTGCTGATGTAGAAGCATCAAGTTATCAAGATTTGCTTAAGATAATTAACGAAGGTGGTTACATTAAACAACAGATTTTCTGTGTAGACTAAACAGCCCTCTGTTGGAAGAAGATGCCATCTAGGACTTCCTTAGCTAGAGAGAAGTCAATGCTTGGCTTCAAAGCTTCAATGGACAGGCTGACTCTCTTGTTAGGGACTAATAATGTACCTGGAGACTTTAAGTTGAAGCCAATGCTCATTTACCATCTGAAAATCCTAGGGCTCTTAAGAATTATAGTACATCTATTCTGCCTGTGCTCTATAAATGGAACAACAAAGCCTGGATAACAGCTATCTGTTTACAACATGCTTTACTGAATATTTTAAGCCCTGTGTTCAGACCTACTGCTCAGACAAAAAGATTCCTTTCAAAATATTATTGCTTATTGACAATGTACCTGGTCACCCAAGAGCTCTAATGGAGATGTGCAATGAGATTAATGTTGTTTGCATACCAGCTAACAACATCTATTCTGAAGCCTATGGGTCAAGGACTAATTTCAACTTTCAAGTCTTGTTACTTAAGAAATACATTTCATAAGGCTATAATTGCCATAGATAGTGATTCCTCTGATGGACCTGGGCAAAGTACATAGAAAACCTTCTGCAAAGGATTCACATCCTAGACCAGGGGTCGGAAAACTTTTGAGACGAAGAGCCAATCCTGTCCCTCACGACAATTTAAAAATTATTTGAGAGCGATAAAATAAATGAAATTATCATTATGTGACTAAAGTCCTTTAAAAATTTTATAAATGAAACTATGATAGTTTTATTTTCGTTTTCAATTTTATTTCAGAGCCACATGTACGTACCCAAAGAACCGCATGTGGCTTGCGAGCCACAGTTTGCCGACCTGTTCTAGATGACACTAAGAATATTTTTGACTCGTGGGAAGAGACCAAAATATGAATATCAACAAGAGTTTGGAAGAAGTTGATTCCAAGCCTCATGGATGACTTTGAGGGGTTTAAGGCTTCAGGGGAGGAAGTAACTACAGATGTGGTGGAAATAGCAAGAAAACTTGCATCAGAAGTAGAGTCTGAAGATGTCGCTGAATTGTTGCAATCTCATGATAAACCTTGAACAGAAGAGGAGTTGCTTCTTATGGAAGAGCAAAGAAAGTGGTTTCTTAAGAAAGAATCTATTTCTGGTGAAGACTGTTGAAATGACAACAAAGGACTTAGAATACTGCATAAACTTAGTTGATAAAGTAGCGGCAAGATTTGAGAGGACTGACTCCAATTCTGAAAAATGTTCTGTGGGTAAAAAGCTATCAAACAGCATTGCATGCTACAGAGAAATCGTTGGTGAAAGAAAGTCAGCCCATGTGGCAAACTTCATTGTTGTCTTATTTTAAGAAACGACTACAACCACCCAACCTTCAGCAACCATCACTCTGATCAGTCAGCAGCCATCAACATCGAGGCAAGACCCTCTGCCAACAAAAAGATTCTGACTCACTGACAGCTAAGATGATGGCTAGCATTTTTTTAGCAAAAAAGAACTTCCAAAGTATGTATAGTATTTTTATAGATGTAATGCTACTGCACACTTAATAGACTACAGTATAGTACGAACATAACTTTCATATGCACTGGAAAACCAAAAAGTTCATGTGACTTACTTTGAGATATTCACTTTATTGTGGAGGTCTGGAACCAAACTCACAATATCTCCGAGGTATGCCTGCCTCCTAGACCAGAAGTCAGCAAACACTTTTTATAAAGGGCCACATAGGAGATATTTTGGACTCTGTGGGCCATAGGGTGTCTGTCACAACTGCTCTTGTAGTATGAAAGCAGCCACAGGCAATACGAAAACAATGAACATGGCTGTGTCCCAATACACTCCCACTTACAGAGTCAGGCAGCGGCTGGATTTGGCCCATGGACCATAGTTGGTCAACCCCTCTATGACTCCAAGAAATGAGGCCCTGCATCTAGCCTCAGAGCCCTGATTCTCCCCAGGTCGGTTGCCATATTTTAAAACTCCGATGGATCTCCTTAGAAAAACACTTCATGTCAGCAAAGCGTCAGTGAGTTTCAGGAATCCCACATGAGAGAATGGAGAGCCATCTCACCGTCGGGCCAGAAAAAAATTCAAATGATAATATTTCGCTGCAGCAAACAACGGCAACCTTATGTCATTAGCTGACATGTTTTCCTCTTTCGTATTTCATGAAATGAAATGAGAATCAAAGGGTTTCTTCTGCAGCGAGGGTACCAGGTCTGGAATGAGGAGTGGGGAGTGAAGGCAACTGAAGAAATAAATCTCACTTAAAAATAATTCACAAGCCTAACAGCAAAGCCAGACTTTTTAAACAAGAGACAGCAACTCTTGTCCACTGTTCCCCACACACCCAGGACCCTTCCTCACCATCCCCCCCTCAAAAGCCCATGGTGCCTCCAGTGAGAACCCACACATCTACTAAAACACGCAAAGGCACTGTCATGTAACACGGGGAACGAAAAGGCCAGTGGGAAACCGCAGGCATTCCTGGCAGTGCAGGCCTGGTGAGAAGAGAAGAGGATAAAGCAGTAACTAGATATTAGCCTGGGTTTGTGTGGGCAAATGTTCACAGAACTGCAGTGGAGGAGCTGGAGCTCAATAGCTGCTTGTCTGCTTTACAATGCAGTTGCCAAGCAATAACTTTCTCCTCATGCCCTGGAGGCGTAAGATGTTTTCCATCGCTTTCTCCTGTCAGGCTACTCACCGAGGTCAGCGCCTCCACGTTGGCACCTGCCAAACAGAGGTAGCGGACCACGTCGAGAATCCCGTTGTTGGCTGCAAGGTGTAGAGGCGTTCGTCCATACTGGAAGAGACAAAAAAAAAGACCCAGGAGAGTTCTCCTCATGACTGTGCCTGAGAATAACATTTATGGAGTCAACCCCATGGGGCCAGCATTGTGTGAGGGGTCTGGGGTCCACCAGAAAGAAACAGGAGGCGTGGTCTGCCTTCTCCAAAAACTTGCTCTCTCCTGAGGGAGGCAAGCCAAGCAAAAAAACGTTTTCAAGTATTTTTCAGTTAAAAGAGTAACTTCAAAGGATAAAAGAGTGGGAGGCTTATCAAAAGGTAATTAAGTCTCTTGCTGTGCTGGCAGAAAGGAGGGTTGAGTCAGGGCTCAACGGCCCCAAAGTTCCAGAAAGATCTGCCCCACAGTTCAAATTTAGACATAAACAGCAAGGGAAGAAGGGATGGAAAAACAGCCATTGAAGACACTCTAATGAGGTGAAATTTCAAGGCCATGCCCACCATTTTTTTTATGGCCATGGTTCCCAAACTGTGTGCCAAGTCACCTCAGGGCACTGTAGTAAATTCATGGGGGCTGGGGAGACATGGTAAATATTTTAAATTTTTAATGGAACCAGCAGGTTTAGACACCAGGTGAACCAATAGCTCCAGGTAGTTCAGTCTCAACATTAGATTGCACTGTCTTCCTTTTAATAACATCATGTCTGCACAGCAAGGGTTTGGTGATTGCTGTGCAAAAAACAAGTATCTTGACAAAATTATTGTAGACTGGGAAATAAGGGTGGTGGTGTCCAATATGAGTCCAAGGTTTGAGGAGCTGTGAGGTCCCCAACAAGCACACACATCCCATTAATACATAACTGTGGTTATGTAAGAATAAAATTAAAATGTTAGATTTCTTTCAATTGATGTGGGTCATTTATTCCAACAGCTACTATGTTATTAGGATATAAATACTAAGTTGTTTAGACGGAGCTACTTAATAAACAAAACTGTTAGATATTTCTTTTGTCCTGGGGAACCATGAAAAAATTACAGATACACTATAGACACTGGGAACTGAGAAAGTTTGGGTATTTCTCTGTCTTCTGCTATTTATTTGCAAATATAAGTTTTGTTATGAAGTTAACACATGCTCATTTAAAATATACAAACAATATAGACGGATAAATGGTAGAAAATGGAAGTCCTCTGACCCCACTAAGTTCCCCTAGTCAGTGCTAACCCTATTTAACCCTCTGGGGCGTTTCCTTCTAAGCTATCTATGAATCCATAAAAGGAAATGAATAATTTGAAAAGCCAAGATGTAATCATACTCCAGAGTCTATTCTGTCACTTGCTTCATTCGCCTAACAATAGATTATGAATACTTTTCCATGTCTGTAGCTAAATCGACTACCTTTTCTTTTGGACATCTGAATGATATTCAGTATATGGATATGTCATAGTTCATTAGCCAGCCGCTGAGGAGGGACACTTAATGCGGTTCCACTCCTTGCTGTGACAAATAATGCTACAAGATGTGCACATATTTTGTCTCCTGTTATCTTCTCGAGTGACTTAGGAAGTGGATATTAAACTTTCAAATACCCTTAAAGTGAGAAGGAAAAGAAAAGGTTTGGAAGACTTGGATGAAATGTTTGGATTTATGTGGCTAGAAAGATAACCGTGGTTATAGGATGTACAGTTTTATAGAAAGGACAATGAAAAGAAGTGTGAGGAAGAAAATGGACTAGGAAGTTTATACTTTTGAGGGTCCCCAATTTTCGATAGAACCAAACCCAAACTCCTTAGCATTAGATTCAAGGTGTTTCATTATCTGGACCCCTTTTCCAGTTATATTTTCTCTCTTTCCCCGATTCTCTCCCTTTCCAAGTACTTACACCACATGTCAGCACAGGGGCATCCAGGCAGCCCCCACACATACACATGTGGTCTGCAACACGCTTCCCACCTTCTCCATCTGTAAATCCCAATCATTTTAAATGGTTGCCTCTGAAAAGCTTTCCCAAGTGTCTAATGCACAAATGTACGTGTTTCCGTAGCATTTGTGCCTCTGCCTCAGCAGTGGTTGCAACGTGAGATGTTGTTTGATTGAAAAGCAGCCTGAGGGCCAGAACCATTCACTCTGATATCCACAAGCTCCCTCATGCCATGCTCGGCACAGGGCTGTCAGGGAAGGGCATTAATAAACACTTGATGGGCACAAAATTCTCTCTCATGCTCCTGGATAATGTGTGTGCATCTGTGTGTACAAGCACGTGTGTGTACGTGCATGTGTGTGTGTGTGTGTGTGTGTGTGTGTGTGTGTTCTTGTGTACAACATGCTTTTTCTATCTTCACTGATAAGAGTCAACACAAAAGGAAGAAAGAGTTAAGGGCTCTGCACTCTGTTGTCTCTTTCTTTTCTTCTCATGTGTTCCCTAACATGACCAAGTTCAATAGCCACTCCCCTGATTTTCATACGAGACAAATGAAAACTGAGAAATGTCTGTTACACTGAAATGAGTGTAAAAGATAGTTGACAAGTTCCTGTGACATCCTGGTGACAGGGGTAGAATTTGAATGGCCATTTTTATCTCTGGGGAATAGCATCTAAGTAAGGAAAAGGCAGGATATACCAGGGAAAGGAGTGACAGAGTCTGCCTGTAGGACGTGGGCTATCACTGTGCCATGTTCATCCTGACAACTGGTTACTAGGGTGAGTTCGTGTAAAGCCAGATGTGCTTTCTGGGGAAACAAGGCCTTCCTCTAACTTTTCTGCACATCTTTTAAGCCCCCCTAGAGCCCCCATCCTCTTTCCTAAAATAAATAACAACAACAACAAAAGGAATAAAGAAACAAAGCTGATTGGGCCGGCTGAGTGGCACGATGGTTAAGAACTGGCTTGGGATGGTTAAGAAACAAAGCTGATACCAGCCCTTCTCAAGAAGGTAGGAGGCACATAAAGTCACTGTGGGCTGAGCCTCTGAGCATTGAAGGCAACCTGGGGGGTCTGTCTGCAGGTCCAAGAATGCAGAGCTGCCTATCAGTAGCACGCTGCTGCTCCAGGTGGGGTCTGAAGAATGGTTTGAACTTTGCTGCTGGTTCCAAGAGGTTGAAATTGTGGAACTGATGAGTTTTGCTTCAGCTGAGCTCAACTCAATGACAAAATCATCTACTGATTGTGAGGTTGCTGGGCCATGTACAGTAAAAACACACGTTTATGTCGGTATATATGAACTACCATGGCCACCTACAGTATAAAAAATGTAGAGGCTTTCCCATGAAATGAGCCAGCTGTTTTTAAACATGAAAGTTTAGGATTGTCTTGCTGGGTATTTTATAGAGCATATGTAACAAGTGTACCTTTTGCATTTAGGCATGAGGCAAACACCTGGACCCTTCTTTAGATTCGTGCAAACCAGCAAGAGATGCTGTGCTTCTCCACTTCACAGGAGACAGCTAACCCCAGATTCTGTGCACACAGTGGGTCAGCTGTGCATAAAATGGCCAAGTCTAACCGTATTCAAATGAGTGCCATGAGGTTCCTTGAAGCTGCTTTTTATTCGTTTAAAGACTCCTGGAAGGAAAGCCAAGGTCTTGATGCTGCTTAATATTACATTTGACTTTCCCCATAAGCCACTTACATAACTGACTTGGCAAGATTAGAATGGGATAAACTAAGAAAACAACCAGCAGCTAATGGCTAAGACCTAGGATATTGCCTTTTCATATTTCTAGAATGTGAAGATTAATTCTAATGGAAATTGAAATTGGTAATCACATAATATGCAACAGGAATAATTTTTTTTTAGAAGTGTAATTTTCCAGCTGTTTCAGATATTAAGTCTTTTATTTCAAGCAAATCATAATAAAATACCGCTGGCATCATGTCTGCCATTTATAAACAAATGTTTCCCACAGTTAAAAAAAATTCTACTTTGATTTTGTTTTTAACATAATTATAATAGAATAGTGCTTGCCTTTCATACAGTGACAGGGTCAAAGCCACATGAATATCCAACTGTTCTATCTTATTTGGTAATGAAAATCTAGATGGTATTCAAGGAAAAGGGAAGGTGTGAGCTAACTTCTAGAAGTCAACAGAATGGGATTTAAAAAATAATCAACCTAGGAGCATGGAATTATTTATTTTTACTTCTCTTTTTATTCGCCAAATAATAACATCCCCTTGGTCTTAACAAAATTTATTTTGCACAAAAAGGTTTAATGAACTTTTACCAAAAAACTCTCAATGGGGGAAAGCTAAGAAGAGAAATCTGGTCCCAGGAATCTGTCAAATCAGAACTCGTTAGGTGTTTTTCTGAAGACTTAGAGCTCCAGAAAGGTGCTCCAATTTGTACCATGTTCTCTGATTCCGCTACAGAAGGATGATCTCTCTCTCTTTCTCCCTCTCTCTCTCTCTCTCTCTCTCTCTCTCTCTCTGCCCGTAAGTAGTAAACCAGGTTAGGTAGGAAGTACATATTAATATAATCATTTTCTGTTACTCTACAAAATTATTCAAAAGTCATAGGTAAAATATCACTTAAAGTGGAAAGCCCTATAACAAAAGAGCACGTCCATAGGAATGATACCGACTTTGAACAACGAAGAGATGCAGAGAGAAATTTGGCCCAAATCTTGAAGCAGGTTGATGGACAGACACTGTTGGACCCTCAGGGATCTTTCCCTCCAGTGTTACCTTGTTTGAGATATCCAAATTGCAGTTGGCTTCACAGAGGGCCACCACAATAGGCACATTGCCATCTTTGCAGGCCACGTGGAGTGGGGTGTTGCCGTGCCTGTCTTGGAAATCGATGAAACATCCCTGGCTGATGAGAGTCTGGATAACCTCCATCTGACATCGTCTTACAGCAAGATGAAGGGCGATGTGTCCATCCTGCAACAGACACCGGGGGCCATGAGTGCTTTCACTTAGGCACCTGGGCCTGCGCTTACCTTTCTAGCTGCTACGGGGCCAGGTTTAACTGGCAATGTGATCACTACTGCAAACCCTGAAGGAGGATTCAAAACCATGAATTTACTCATGGGGAGTGGGAGAGAGACTTCTTCATACATTCCACTCTGAATAATCCCAGACCATGCTGACCTTCAGCTTGATAATCTAGGCTTGGACAGTACAATCAGGTAGAAAGACTTGACACTTCTTTTTGTCTCTGAATGTATAGGACTTAAGAAAGTTTGGTACTCCAATGGCCTATTTTATCAAGTTGTTGGAAAACACCTTTAAAAACATTTGCTGAGCAATCTCTACTAACTTCCTAAGTAGAAAGCCTATTGCTTTATTTTACGCCAGGAGGCACTGAGAAAGTGATGTGAAGTGATTTGCTTGAGGGCTGTCACATATATGAGAAGCAAACATAAAATGTTTAACCTCTGCATCCCACTGAAAACAAGCCTGGGAATTCTGTCCACCTATTGTAGAATCCCTGGTGAACAGGCGTGTTGAGTTTTAGGAGTTGGGTAGAAAGTCTGGAAACATTTCTATAATATCTCTTCTACGATTTCTCAACCTTAGCATATTCAAGTTTTGGGCTTGCCCTAAATGGATTTAAGCAGCACCACTGGTCTTTATCTACCAGGTACCAGTAGTAATGCCCAACATTGGTTTGACAGCCAAAACATGTCTCCAGCCATTACCAAATATCCCATTGGAGCAAGGTCGCCCCCAGTTGAGAACCACATCTCTGTACCAAGAAAATACACCACAAATGGCTATTACTAAAGTAAGTTCAGTGTCCTAAATCCAACTATATTTTCAATCTAGCCTCATTTTAAGTTCAAGTTCATAATAAAAACAAATTATGCTAAATTTGCTTAATTAGAAAAGGAACACCTGGTCTAGAATTGAGATCATCAGACAAATAAGAGTGATTTACAAAATAGATGGTGATAGAAATAAATAAATCACCTATTTCTTTGTTTATCTACAAATTAATAGGGCATTGCTGATTTTAATCCTAAATAAGGATTGTCCTGGTTTCAGCAATCATCACTATACTTGCTCCAACACTAAAAAGGCTAAAAATAAAAGAGACCTGATGTCATTTGACCAATTTATAAATGTTGTTACATGCCATAAATGAATATTAAGTATTAAACAGAACCTAGAAAAGTTCATGGAATCTTTGGAACAGAGACGAGAAAGGATAATTACAATTTGCTGCATTCGAGTTTGTTATTTTAGGTAAACTGAGGAAGTCTTGTGGTCCCTCTAGCCCCCCAGATCACTTCTCTGTGAGTGTGATAGATTCACTCGCAAAGCACCTTGTCGGAAGCATTAAGATCGGCTCCGTGTTCAGCCACACACTCCACTATGTCATGGTAGCCCCTGGCAGAGGCTGTCAGGAGGGGCGTCTCTCCTTCTCGGTTCTTAATGTTCACGTTGCAGCCAGCTTCACAAAGGGCTTTGGCCACAGAGTAATAGCCGTGCCAGGCAGCACAGTGCAGGGGGGTTTCTTCTTCCTGGCCAAGGGGACAAGCACACAGAAGGAGAATGCAATAATATGAAAGAAAGTACAGGCATGGTGAGGGTCCCCACTGAGGTGTGCAGTCAAGGCAGCAGAGACAAAGAGCTCGGGGCTATTAGAGCAAAACATTCATCTGAAATGGTAGACACGGATCTGACACCTCTCCTACGTTAGTTTTCTTTCCTCAACACTTGCGTGTTGGACGAATTTGGCCTTGTCAGCATATGAGTGACAACTGCCTTTCGGGAGCCCACTGGAACGAACGAACAGCTCAGCTCTTCTGAACAACAGCCCCAGCGTGGGTGGATTTATAGCATCTTTCTGGTAAAAGTGCTGTCGTTTACTTCATCTACTGACAGTAGGAGAGCACATCTCTGAACAAGACTTCTAATAACCTCAGTGCCTCAAGATTTTTGTCATGCACATAACAATGAGTCACATAAAGGTATTGTTGCTGTGGCAAAGCAGTGACCGAGGTAACCATGCTTTAATAAGTCAGGGAAAGGCCTGGCTGGTTGTAAGGGCTGGAGGTCCACAGGGTGGTAAGACTACCATATTTCCCCATGTATAAGATGCACCCTTTTTCGAAAAATTTGGGGTCTAAAAACTGGGCGTGTCTTATACAGTGGTTGTAGATTTTTTTTACTTGCATTTCCCACTTGTTTTTTTTCTCCCATACAACCACTGTATAAGACGCACCCAGTTTTTAGACCCCAAATTTTTCGAAAAAGGGTGCATCTTATACATGGGGAAATATGGTGTATATATATTTATGGCCAACATCACTGACACATATGTCTGTCTTTGAGAGGCCATTATAGTATAGTGGTTACTGACATGTACTCTGGAACCACACTGTGTGGTTTCAAACCCCAAACCCCTGCTCCACCACTTATGAGCTGGGTGAGCTTGGGCAAGTTGCTGACCCTCGCTCTGCCTCAGTTTCCTCCTCTGTAAACTGAGAATGATAGTAATAGTAACCCACCTCAAAGGGTTTTCCAGAGGATTAAAGGAATGAATGTTAAGAGACTGAGTCCATACCCTCTGGAATCTAAACAGAAACTTGAATGACACTCCAAGGACTAGGCCATATCATTGTGTGCCTGTACATCCACGCAGAGAGCAGAAGGAAGTTAGGACATCAGCTACCATGACCCACCTTGTCCTGGAAATTGGGATTGGAGCCGAAGTTGCACAGTAATTGAACCACATCGGCGTGGCCATAGCGAGCTGCCACATGAAGGGCTGTCTCTCCAGACTGCAAAAGAAAGAGCCAACGATTCAGAGTGCCTCTGGGAGCAGGCTGTGGGGACTAGATCGCACAGGACTGGAGGCCCACTCCACACATGCCTGGCTCTATGCCCTCCCCTCTGGGGATGTCCGCCCCCTTGGGCCAGACGCCCCTTTGGTGACTGGGCCAGGGACCCAGGAGTGGAGTATCTATCACATAGCTTGTGTTAAACCCACACACACCTGGCTCATCCTGTTGGTCATAAAATCCCTAGGTGAGAATGCTTTCCCTCGTCCGTGATGGCTGTTCTCAAACTTCTCATCTACTGATGCTTCAAGCTATGTGATTTTTTAAAACACGAAACTCCTTTTTTAATATTAAGTTTATTATACAGCAGATATTTAAATGTAGTTTTATTTATTAACATGCTTCTGATTTCACTGTCTACATCTGGAAAATTATTTCTTATATTCTCAGAGATTGAGAAAAATATCACTAATTAGCTCATATAATAACTTTCTGTGAATTAGTAATAGGTACAACTTCCTTAAGGTATGGCATTTTACTGATACCTGCCAAAAAAGTGTCAAAATAAACTGATTAAAACAAAACGAGATACTTTACTGCCACCTGACAGAAAACTGCCATAATAAATGTGTCTTTGATGTGAATGTCATTCTTAGATCGGTGCAGTGCACAATCCATACAACTGTCTGCGGCAGCCCTGACCGAACATGACAAATTAGTCTACAAGTGTTAGAAGCAGAGAAGGGTTGCACAGTAGACTCCATAGCGGATGAGAAGGTAGGCGTCCTAGGTGCAGGCTCCAGGCCTGCCAATTAACTCACAGGGTTGTTGTGTGGACTGAATGAAACATGTATATGTGAAAGTAAGATATGTTGCTAAATCAGTAACTTTTATAAAATCTTTGTCCAAAAAAAGCTTTATTTTACGTGCATTGTCTCATTAATCCTTCTGGTGCCAGGGATTGTAAGGTCAGCATTGTCAGCCATTTCGAAGACAAAGATACGGTACTGAGATATGCACATGGTGAAGTCAGTGAGGGGACAGGACTCGGGTCTCTTTCTGGTTGTCTTTCTATTAGAACTTTGAGTTTTCATGTTATTCATGCAAGGTAATTCACTGCTTGCATATTATGGCAGTTACCTAGCAGATTTCAGCTAAAAACAGATTTTCACATTAGACCAAGCCACCAGCAAAAAAACAAATTTCTAGATTAAATTTCCACAGGAAAATTCTGATTCTCAATCCTTGTTCTTTGGGTCCTGATGCACGTGACATGTCGATGCTCAAATGCAGCCTGTTACTTCCCCGTTCCTAAGAAGAAAAGGGCCTTACCTTGTCTTTAACATCCAAAGGGCATTTGTTCTCATGGAGAAATTTCAAGGTATCTACGTGGCCATGCCGAGAAGCCCAGTAAATGGCATTGGATCCACCCTGTACGAAAACCAACGTGGAGTCACATTTCCAGAGAGCTGATAGATCTGAATGCATGCATCACCTCAGACTCACTCTATTTCCCTTCCTATGCGACAGCAAATTCCAAAGGAGCACCTTCCATGAAGAATAACACCCCCACTTCATTTTTTATTTTGACAAAGGGACCAAGGTTATGTAAGACATTCATATTACAGGAAGCTGGATGAAGGGGATAAGGAAGCTCTGTGTAATATCTTTGCAGATTTTTTTTGGTAAATCTAGAATTATTTCAAAATAAAACCTTCATTTCAACCTCTGGTTAGAATTCCCCATATTGTCAAGGGCCAGATCTAGTCCTTTTACAGCTCTGTTGAAAGTCTATGGAAGCGAGTGTCAGATCTACTGTAATGACTATTAACTGTTAATCAATTGTGCCTACACTTCCAATGTGATTTACACCTCAAAGCATATCATCTTTACTCTGTAGCCCTAATAAAACAAGCAGGAAAATACATTTCTGCTGAGGTTAATTAGACAATGAAAACTTTTCCAAATGTGACATCGTATAACAACACTGCTGAGTAAATGTGATCAGTGAGGAGTAAAATCTGGGGTAGTGTACAAAGTAAGGCTGATGTCCAGAGAAAGATCAGTGTCTGCCTCTTTCTTTCTAACGTATATTAGACTGGACACGAGCAGTTCATCTTCCTTTATAGAAAACTAAGAAATGAAGTAAAGCATACATGTTATTTTTCTCTGTTACCTCTATGATTAGAGACATTTGGATATACCTAAAAAATTCATTTATTTGCAATAAAACAAAAATATAACCTTATCCTGGACATCAATTCTTGAGCCTCTTTTAATGAGCAGTTGTAGCATTTGAATATTTCCACAGCCAGCAGCAATAAGTAATGGAGGTGTCCCATGCTGGAATAGGCAAGAACAAAACAAAACACAAAACACTATTTTTCATGTTTGATAGGAAAGAAAAAGCCCAAACTATCATTGCTGTCCCACACACCTTCCTATGTCTCAACGGGCACATAACAATTGCTGCATAACAGGAATGGAAGACCATCAGAACACAGCACCCATCTTCCTTTGGATTTACAGTCATAGGTAACATTTTCATTTGCAGGATGAGTAGATTTAAAATTTCACAGTTAGAGGTGTAATTGGTGATTGTGGAATGGCCTTGCATGAAGAAAGGCCCTGAATGCAAAAATACTTAATTTCTAAGTCACTTCACTCTCTAAACAAAAGTGAGTTTTTCCAGTATGGAGTTTGCAAATGGAAAGGAGAATGAAGAAGCAGACCACCCCCCTCCACTGTCCCTGACAGAACAGTATCAGACCTTGTTGGGTTGGTTAACATCATAGTTGGACAAAGAGCCCAGGAGGTGCTGCAGGCCTGGGACATTGTCGTCGTTGATGGCATGGATGATGGCTTTCATCACAAAGGAGTCTTCCTCATCCTGTAGAAAGACAGCAAAGAGACTGTTATAACGTATCCCATGATTAGCAGGCTATTGAGATGGTGAGAGAACCCGAGGTCTGGGTGGGGGTCTTTCTACCTGGAGTTCCTATAAGACCCTGGGTCCCTCTCTTACCTTAATCTTTTCATTGCAAAAAATATAATTTATCCCAACTGATTCTCCAGGATAATTTTAATTTGTAATATATAATCGTTCCCATCATCTTACTTAGATTTAGTTTTTCTTTGGTTCCACTTACAGAATTCCCAAATCCAGTCTTCCTCCTCTTCCTCTCCCTTCTTCTCATTTGCTTCTCTCCCACTTCTTTTTTCTTTTTAACACTTCCTATCTCTTTTTACTCTACAGGTTAGACCTGGAGCCTCTGTGAAACTACTAGCTTCAGGGAAATAAAGAGCTGGTGTCTGCTTGTGTGTGATCCCGCCCTTGGAGTCCCCGGATTCCACTCAGGAAACACTGACTATTGAGTTACAGGAGTAGCCCAGTTCCCACAGAATCACCCTTTCTGCCTTTCCTGGAGTCCTCTTTACCTCCAGGGTTAACAAAGCCCTGTTGTCTGACTGTCAGAGGAAAGTCTTGTTGAATTCAGGTGCATCCAAGTCATATCTGAAGAGTTAATCTGTGATTAAGTTTCAGTTTGGATTAAGGGGGAAAAAAAAATATGGAGTTGGTCTCAAGGGCCTTGGACAATCAATACAATATTAACAAACACGTGGGTTTAGCCTTCTGGTCTACCACGAACTACACCAGCAAGCCCCAATGCATTTTCCTTGATTTTCTGTTGTGTGTGTGTGTGTGCGCGTGCGTGTGTGCGTGCGTGCGTGCGTGAGTGTGTGTGTGTGTAGGATTGTCTGCCTCTTTTGTACTACTACAATCCAAGAATCTCCAAGGTCAGTAACAATAGAGGGCTCATTTTAGTTCATGAAAATCAGAATAAGTTCTTCCTTCTTCTACTGGTCAGCCTTTCGCGTTTTGTCAAACTGTGTGTGTGGGAGCAGGGGGTTGGGAGGGTGATAGTCTTAGAGGTAGTGGGGTGGGAGCAGGTATAGTCCCAATAAAAACACAGAGAAAAAAGGACAAATAAGCAGCAGAGTACACCAACAGAGTACAACAAGCAACTGAGTAAATCAGCCACCCCAACTCCCTAACTGGAGAGGAGGAAGAACAGGCCTGACATTTACTTCAGGCTTCCTGGGTTGTTGAACAAATCAAACAACCTGGACATTTTACATTCACAGTGCTAAGAAAGAACCTCACCAAGGCAAACAGGTTTGCTTACCAGAGTATCATCGCTTCTGGCAACACTCATGTTACTTCTGGACAAGAACGACCTCGATAATCTTTGGCACAGTGATATCAAGCGAACGGATTGCTTTAAAAAAACAAAGAGAATAAATAAAGGCAGGGAGAGGGGGAGAGAGAGAGCTTATGTAACAACATTCAAATTAGTGCAAATGACAGTCTTTGAGATGGCATTCTCTGCTGACAGAACGAAATCTTCAGGAGCAGGCAACCCCACAGGAAGGTTGGATCATATTTGCTTAAAGAATAATTCTAAAGGTCTTATAAATCAAGAAAACAGGAGAGTCTCCTTCTGCATTTCATTTTTAAACTACAGAACTGGATGCCCTATATCCCTTCTCTCTCAATATTTTGTTCCCTACTCTTTGAGGAATGGGATCTTATTGCAGCAAACGCCCTTGTCCGTCCCCCTCAGATACGCGTGGTATGCAAGGGTCTTGCCTTGCATCCTTGGTCCCAGGCAAGCTGGTAATGGTAGATAATGTGACTATCAAAACTCATACAGTTGTTGGAAATGAACAAGAAATAGAATTAGTTAATCTCCACATCAAATAATCTTACTTTCCATTTTTTCCGGGCTGCGAACTTCTTGAATTTTTCCATGTTTACTGCTGATGCTTTTCTACTAAGTGCTTGCTGGGTATCTTTAGGCTAAAATGAAAGTCCAAGAATAAAATTTAGAGCTCTCAAGTTACGGAAATGTGTTCCATGACAATTTTTTCAAACCTGTCATTGTTTGGGATGGTTGCTTACACATTCACCTTGCTAGGCTAAACAAACAAGTTGAGATAATCTAGAAACCTAGTCTGCAGAGACTAACTCTTGTAGCTAAGGGTTTGACACAATCCATAAAAACTGTATCTTGGGGGAAAAGTTGAGTTTGGGCCAAGCTGAATTACTCCATAAGAGAGTTTGGGAATAGCAAGATTCATGGTGAGGCCATGTTATGAGGCATTTGAACTTGAGGGGAGGACTGTCTGCCTCTTTTGTTCTATTGCAATCCAAGAGTCTCCAAGTAATTTAGAACTGGGAGGGGCCTGAGGTCAGCAAATTCAGCCTGTCTGACAGCATTAGAATGCCTTCTACTGCATCTTTTTCAGGAAGCCATGTAGCAATGCCTCTGAGAGAAGAAGGCAGCATTGCCTTCTAAGGGAGACCAGGCAATTGCCAGGAGATTGTACAGGCAAAGGGTTCTCCAGGGGCTCCAAACCTACCTCTGTAATACAAGTTACTACGTTGCAATTTGCTTACTGGTTCCATAATCTTATTCTAATAAATTTTATTCTAATAAGTGCCATCTTCTCCCATCCATAGTCCCTTCTGTTCTAGCTGGAGCAACTTTAGTTCTTTCACCCAAATGCCGACAGGTCTCAGGCAGGTAATGTAAAGGTGTGATGGGCCAGAGGGTGGCCACAGGCCCTGGCAGACAGGCAGCTGGGCCACGTTTCTGGTGGCCTCATGGAATGAGGGCTCAGTTTTGGTAGATGTTCACATTTTTCAAGAGAAGCTGGAAATCCAGATTTGATATGATATTTAAATGCTAGAAATTAATTCACAAAATTAAAAAAAATATATTGTTTGGGCCAACATCCCACAGGTCAAACCAAATAGGCTACTGAGTACACTTGACCTTCAGCTTCCTGCATACAATCCTGCATTATGATAGCTTCCTTCTCTCCACCTTCATTATCATTAGCATATTCTCATCTGTCAGTTGTCTTAATACCGCACCATGGCAAACACAATACTCAAGACGTGACCTGTGGCTAGAATCCACGCTAATTAGTAATTAGAAATGCTGTAGAACCAATGAATTCCAAGATGCCCTACAGACACCCAGGATGCTCTACTCAGCCCTTAGCTATAACACTCACACCAATCACAATATGCAACTTACCTTGATCCAGGGATGCTGTAAACTATCTTGAATTGTCATTCTCTTCCTTTGTGGGGAGAAGGGAAAGAAAAAAAAAAAATGTTGTCACCATACAAGCAAACACTAACGCTGTTTCCTTGCTGGCTGGGCCTACCAAGCAGATGCTCTAGAAAATGCAGTTTGAGGTCTGCTTCATGGAAGACAGCCGAAAACAATGTCAGTCTTTATGTGATTATTTCACTGTGCCTGCAGGACTGGCTGGGCAGGTACAAAGGACCCTGCACGCATTTTCTGAGGTGTTTTACATGGCATGCTTCCCTTTGCCAGGTGCAAACAACCAGGGTCTCATAAACATGACCACGGGCACAGGACAGGTGCTAACCCTCCTCTAGCTGAGGCCATGGCTGAGCACTGTTCAGGAATGATGGACACTCACTTTGGATCTTTGACAAGCAGTCTTCTTATGAAATCTTTGGCTAGGGCACTGGTATTACTGAAGTATTCTTCCTCAAATTCGTAGTTGACAGCGGATACATTTGCTAATGTTTCTTGCTTAGTGTCTCCGAGAAATGGGGAGGCCCCACTTAGGCTGTTAATAAAGTGAAGCACAGAACATGAACAATTACCTCTTGCGTTGTCATTTTGTTCCCATAATATCTCATAGGGGGAGTGAGGAATAAGACTATAAGCTGGTGCTTGGGCAATCACTTTAGAAATCAATTGTATTTTATAGGGCATTTAATTGTCATGCACAAAAGCTTGAGTTTAGTGCAAAAGATGCATTTAAAAAGTTAATTTGGAACAGCGTCTAGTAGTTAAAAAAAACCCTTTTCCTATTTTCTCAGTGATGGATAGACACGCTTTCTTCCGGTGATTATGCTGCAGTTTCTGATGACTCATTTTGAATTAGGAGAAAATGTTTAATTAGTATAAACTAAACGTGTTCTGGGGGTGTGAAATGAATATGTTTACATAAAAAGCTGAAGAGATCAACATGACACACACAATGGTTAGTAAAACATATGGTCTCAAAGAAAGAGGGAAAGAATACGAGTTGTGGATTTTGGTACTTACAGAATATAGGTTATTACTCCGATACTCCTAGACACAAAACAGAAATAAAAACCAATGTCAGAAGAATAATAAAGTAAATCGGAAAGATGACAACATCAAGGGTATGCTGCTTACCACATATCTGCCTCCAGACCAAGTGGTTCATAGTTGACTATCTCAGGAGCTAAGAGGAAACAAATGCACATTTAGTTTTGGAAGATAGCAAACCAACAGATATTAACTTTAGTATAAACCAGACACATGTACCAGGGAAAGGATGCTACAGCAGGGAACATTTTTCCAAGCATAACATTTATGAGAAATAAATGACCACAGGAGCAAAGAAACTTACCAACAAACTCTGGCGTCCCAAATATGTTTTTGAATTCATTGCCAAAGTCAATTTTATGGGCCAACCCAAAGTCGATGATCTTGATCCGAGGTTTAGGGACATTTCTATCCAAAAGCATTATGTTTTCAGGCTTAAAAAAAGAGAGAGAGAGAGAGAAATAGTACAGCAATGTCCATAGCAACATTCTTCATAATAACCAAAAGGTGGGAAAACCAAATGCCCATCAATAGAGGAATGGATAAACAAAATGTGGTATATACATATAATGGGATAGTATTCAGCCTTAGGAAGGAAGGAAGATCTGACACATGCGACAACATGGATGAACCTTGGAGACATTATGTTAGGTGAAATAAGACAGACGAAGAAGGACAAACATTGTATGAGTCCACTTACATAAAGTACCTGGAATGGGCAAATTCATAGTAAGTAGAATGGTGGTTGCCCGCAGCTAGGGGGTCGAGGGGGGTGGGCTGGAATAGGGAGTTTGTGCATAATAGACACAGTTTCAGTTTGGAAAGATCAATAAGTTCCAGAAATGGATCGCGGTGATGGTTGCACAAAAATATGAATATATTTAGTGTCACTGAACTACCTACTTAAAAATGGCTACAATGGTAAATTTTATGTTGTTTATTTTACCACAATAAAAAAAATAACAGCTATGGCATGTTATGTTGAGGACAAGGTGGCAGAATAGTTCTTCCTCTTCCCAAAAAATACAACCAAAAGACAGGCATAAAGGGTATTTGCAAAAGAACACCAGGAAAAATAAATGTTTTGATTTAGGTTCCACAGGGAGCCACCTGTAACAAGCATTCGGATGTAAGTGGCTTATGTGGGAGGGGACTCCAGGGAACACTTGGTAGACAGGAAACAGAAGGAAAAAAGCTGATACAGGGTGTCTTATCCAGGTGGGGTGACTGGAGCGTAATCTTTTTGGGAAACTTGGGGAGAAAGAGCAATACTCAGAGTTTTCCAACTAAAGCAGGAGGGAGTTAGGGTGTCTACCCACCATCTCCCCATCCTCCACTGCTAAGTGTTGTTTCTGTGGGCATTTACTCTTTGGTATTTCTAGCTCCCAGGGCCAGAAACCAGATGTCAGGCAGAGAGCTGCAGTCGTTTGCAGCAGCAGTCTTTGGGGTATGTATTTTTGAGTGTTGGGGGGATCTGGATGGGGTCTTAACAGCTCTGCTACAGTAAGTATGGAGAAACTCCTACCTCCTCTGAAGTCCTATTCTAGCTCCAATGACCTGACTTGTTCACTTGGCAATTGATCACAGGCTGCTTTGTGACAATCTTTTCACTGCCTTGGATCCTACCTTGAATCTTAACATTGTCACTTCCTGTTGCCCATGGGTGTCTTCCCGTCCCAAAGAGACCATAAACTCTGTGACGGCTGGGAGTTCGACACGCCTTTTTATCTCTCATAACGCCTTGCCCCCAGCCAGGCGTGATCCCACTTAGCCAGTCTCAGAGATTGGCTTGATTGATTTCTGGTGACAGAGTCAGGCCCACAAGCTTTTGCATCAAGAGGGAGAGTAGAGACCAAGGCACCTTCTAACTTACATGCCCTGTGGCCACAGGGGGATGGAAACCTGGGCAGCCAGAGGCCATTCCAGGCTGAAGATGTACCATTACCAGTAGCAGCTCCCTTGCTTAAAGACCTGGCTGATAAGACCCTTTTATTCTTCCCCGGGGATTCTCGAATGTAATCTCGAATGTAATCGTTAATCTTAAGCCTCCATCCCACAAAAAGGTTAGGAATCCCTGCAGAAGGCATGCATTATACACCTGCTGATATATACTGATAGCTCCGTTGGTTAAACCCATACAGGAAAAACACACGTGTCTCTTTCAGATGCCTCAATTTTTCTTGGCAAACAATCGATGCTGAGCTATCTGGCTAACACTCAACCACGTACCTTAAGATCAAAGTGGGCAATCTGAAGGGAGTGCAGGTAGTAAACACCATTAAGAATTTGTTTGAGGAATTCAGTTGCTTCCTCTTCAGTCAAAGATTCTTTTTCTGCTAAGAAGTCAAACAGCTCACCGCCTGCAACGCTGAAAACCAAGAAGCAGAGGTTATCGATGACAATCCTGTTTCATATTGATTTGTTCTCTCATAGGCTATCGGCACACTCAAATTTCAGGCAAGAGAATGGCATAAGGACATGCTGGAACCCCTAAGCATGGAATCAGAATTCTCTGTGCTTCTTGCCAGTAGATGGGAAATCTGCCTTCAAATACATTTTGTGCTTAAAAGCACTTGGGTACCACTTTCCTTGCTGTGTTCACAAATGAGTGGAGGGAGCAGAGTCATGATGGGAAAAAAAAAATTCAATGTATCCTTAAAATGTTTTAAACACGTTAGAGGTGAAGTCTTAACCCACTGACTATGAAATAAAACTACAAGCCAACTTTGTACGGAATTTAGAGAATAATCTTCCTATCTCAATCAGAGAGTACCTGGAAAATTCATAATCTATATGTTAATCAATTTTTTAAACCCCAAATCACAACATATAGCCTAACAAGGATTTTTTTCTTTTGTATTTGTTTATATGCAAATCCCTATATATTTATAAAAATCATATTTAGTAATGAATTTAACAAATACCTTAATAAGAATAAACTTACACAAAATTGAAATGCACGTGGTTGTTGGGGGATTTATGTAATCAATCTCCCTGGCCGGACTGTAAGTCCCTGAACGGCAGAGGTGAGCTCCTAGCTGGTGGCCCGCAGCTGTCACCCACCTCCTAACACAGTGCCAGCCACACAGCAAGAGCTCAAAACATTTTCATCAAGTGGATAAATGAACAAATCCCCCCCAAAAAAAATCCATGGTAATGATTAATGGCAAATAACAGGGAACTTTTAATAAGAGTTTTTATAAATTAATGTTTATCATTTAACCATACATTCACAACATAATAATTAACTGCAATTACGCACATAACTGCTGTGTTCATTATCTTTCTTTTGGCACGACAGTTCCATAAACATTATACCTACCACATCTACATCCAGAGTAAGAAAACTGGTGCTCGTGAGATTAAACAATAATGACAAAAAAGCTATTTTCTTAAAGTTTCAGATTCTGCTCCTTCACCCTCCAAGCTGGTGTCTTTCTTAGCTTGGCCCAGGCCTGAATTCCAAACTGCTGCTTGAGAGCTTCTAAGAGTGGGGGATCAGGAAATGCAGCATTTTTAACAAGCATCCCAGGTGATGCTTAGCACACTAAAAATCAAGGACCCCTTTCAAAGTCTTAATTAACTACATGCTCCTACTGCAAGGCCCTCCTATGATATTTAACTTTGGGGTGTTTATCCGGAGGGCGAGGTCACTCCTCTACCCCTGGGACCCAAGCAGAAGGCTTGGGCAGATGTGCCATGTGCCACAGAGCCTGAGCCAGCCAGGAAGCCAGGAGCCCCGCTGGGTGGCAGAGGCCCGTACTTGGTGACACACCCCGGGTAGTGGCCTTCCTGCCTGCGCCCTGCCAGCCTGGATGCCCTATCCTCTCCACAGCACACGTGTCCCACACTGGCTCCTCACTCAACTGCGTGAAACCTTCTGCTTCTCATTTTTCTCTCTTCTTATTCCTCTTAAAATCTACAAAACAGGGAATCCTTCAGCTATGGGGAAAAGGAGGAAAACGGGAAATTGTCAACGGACCAATGCTGAGAAAGATGCTCCCATCATCTGTTTGCTTCTTTGCGCTCTGGCGTTGGCAACCATCACTTAGGGTGACGGTAGCACACCGGCTGCACAGGGGTGTGTGGCTCACAGCTGGCACATCTGGCTCAAATCTTAATTCTGCAGTCGGGAGATTACTCCTTCTCTCTGAGCCTCAAATTTCCTATCAAACAGGAATAATAGGACCTATTCGTTTCAGGGTTTTGAGGATTAAAGATAATAAATATACATAAAGCAACTGGCAGGCAGGCCTGGCATAAGGCTGAGGCCCAGTAAATGGGACCAGTGCTATTGTAAAGAAAGAAAACCGCTTTTTCCATAGAATGCCACGCCTCCTTTCCGGGCAGGCTCCCACGCGAAAGTGTGGAGGCCCCAAGTCCTTCTTAGGAACCCTATCCCTGCCCCAGACTAGGTCTTTGTTCTTCTTCTTTCCATCCCTCACGTCAAACTAAGCTTCCTTCAGGCCAGTGAAGGGTAGCCTATTTAATTCTCCTGAGGGCCCCAGGTTCTGTGAAGCAAGATAGCTGAGGGTGAGGAGACCCAGTTCAAATCCTGCACAGTTACCCAACCTCACCACACCTGGGACACCTCTTCTGTAAATAAGAGACAATCGCACCCCATAGAGTGGTTCTGAGCTTCCAGGATGTGTAGAGTTTCTTGGCTACTTTCTTCCCATTTGGCTTCAAACCAGAAATTCGCCCTTGGCAGCAGTGACATGCTGGTTCACATTTAACAGTGGGCTCTCTGGGGTTGGGGTGGGTTGGGTAAAACTATTCCTGAGGTGTCATAGTCCCACCATGGTCATCTCAAGCCACCTACATGATGACGGTGACTGCGGAGTTGGGAAGGGATGTGCACAAACAGCTCTGTGACCCGGTGAGCCAGCTATTTCACCCACCGAGGCATTTCATATTTTCCAAAAATGGCGTAACACCATCTCATGCCATGTGTTCTTCTGTGCTGTGATCTTACATCTGTGGCTCTACCCCCTTGAATACGGGCAGCCCCTGTGACCACTTTGACCATTAAGACATGTCAGTGACGCTGGGCCGGCGGCAATGGGTCTTCATGGGCCTGAGGCTTCCACATCCCGGCTTTCGAAGCCCTCATGTAAGACGTGAGATGCTCCCCAAACCACTGTGCAGCGCAGACAAGCCTTTGAAGATGAGATGTTGCATACAGAGGGGAAGAGGCTGAGAAGCATCGAGCAAGGTAGAAATCTTGGAAGTGGACCCTCTAGCCCAGCCAAGGCCGCGGAGGTCAGACTGTCCACCAGAGTCCTTCCAGAATTCCTGAGCCACAAAATGAAATGGCCATTTGGAGCTGCTATGGTGGACACCGTGAGTACTGTCCATGTTCCCCTGGGAGGCAGAACCTGCTGTCCCCACTGCTGAGGTGGAGTCGGCACAGCCCTCAGCCCTCCAGGGCTTGCCTCTGCTGCAGAGCTGCTGCCCAAAGTCATGTTCTTTCCCAGGAGGCCCACAGCCAATGGCTGCTCGGTGTGGGAACAACAAACTTAAATAGATGGCTAGGTATGAAATATTTCAGGCTTTGGGGCCACACAGCTTCTGTTACAACTATACAACTCTGCCCAAGCAAGGTGGAAGCAGCCTTAGACAATATGTAAATGAATGAGTGTGGCTATATTCCAATAAAATTTTATTTACGAAAACAGATGGCAACCTGGATTTGGCCCACGGGCTACAGTTTGCCCTTCCCTGATATAAAGTCCAGGTCACCTCAGTCCAAGCTGGGGCCACTCCTGGGGGCCATTCTGGCTCTAGAACTGTGTGCTGGGCCAGCTGGCATTGGTGCTGAGCTGCAAAGCAGCATGACTTCTCCTGCCCACTCCTGCTCCTTCTCCTCCTTTCCAAGTCTTGATGCTAAGGGCACTTCTTGAGAAATATCCCACATGCTCTTCTCATATCACAGTCCACTTCCCAGGAAACCCGTTCTACATAGCACTAAACTTGGGGGTAGTTTGTTATGCAGCAATAGAAGATGGGAACATTCACCATCTTGAACAGGGTCTGTTTATGAGGCCCAGGCAACAGAAACCAGGTTTGCCTTTCTCTGGGCCTGCTTACCTCGTGCCCGATTCAGTCTTCTTGTGCCAAGCAACTCAATGCCAACAGTGCTACCTGATCACAGAAGTGAGAACCTGGAACCACCCTGGAGCCCCCGTGAGGGACCAGCCTGCAAAGTGGCAGTGCCTGGTCAGACTGAGAGAGAGGAGGCATGGGTCATCTCTAGTCTTCTCCATCCACCCTGCTCATAGGTCCTGTTCAAATGTCACGTTGTTCACGATGAGGTCCATGCCATTGCTTGTCCAGGGAGCCAAATCATTCAGCTAGACACTAGGGGTGTTAGGACAGCCCCTATCTCACTGGGCCTGAACCCATCACTGGTTTCCAGCAGCCCTGAAGGCCCTACATACATCTTCATCCTCCTTCACATAAACACGGGAAGGCAGATGCTTTAGACATGAACCTTTACTTACGATAACCTTTAGTCATTAATCAAAGTAATTGAAAGTAAGTGATTTCAGCCAAGGGTTGGGAGCATGGTAAGTATCATTTGATAATTTAGCCCCCAAATCTCAGAAGTTAGAAAGTGACTTAAAGGTTTGTTTTTTTTGCACATAGACACTTCCACATACATGCTTAGAATCAGAACTCCAGTGCTCACAATGTCATTGCCGAAGAGCAAAATAATGTCAACAAGGTGATCAGTCAAACCTTGGCACTTGCACTCTTTGTTCCAAATTTTACATTTTGTTTAAGAGAAGGAAGATTGATGGAGAGAGAGAGAGAGAGAGAGAGAGAGAGAGAGAGAGAGAGAGAAAGAGAGAGAGAGAGAGAGAGAGAGATGAGTAACCTGTGCAATAAATTTAGAAAGCAAGTCTAACCTCTTTTATTAGTTCTTTGAGTCAGTGTTTTAAATTATAGCATTATCATGGAAATTGTGTGAAATGAATGCTAACAAGCACTGGCTGTTTTCGCCAAGAGAGCTGGAAAACATGAAGGTTCCCTCTCCTCCCATGCCTTTCACTCCCACCAATGCCTCCTCTAAAAGCTAGCTGTAACAGAATGTATTAATTAGGACACATACAGCTTTAAAGACAAAGTGGGCCTTCAGAGTGACTTAAGAGAAATTATCACAGGATTGCAATTTCTAAATTAAAACAATTCAAGGTCCTGAACTCTTGCTAGAAATTGTGTAACACATAACAGGACTTGATTCTGGACTAGGTCTGGTCATAACCTAAACTGCAGGAGATTCTTGGCTACAAGCTAACTCTACTTGATGAGCCATTTCAAGACAAACATTAGGATTCCGCGGTGTTGGGCTGGATTTCCCCATTT